CTTTAGTCTTATTTTAAGTTTGCAAATTAGCTATATTTTTCTTAGTTATTTTTAGCTGATTTTAGTTCGAAAATTATTGTCACATTCACACAAAAGTACAAGTGCAAAAATACATCAAAATGGCAGCCATTTAAGCTTGGAATCCGAAATTCTTTTACAAGGAATTTCAAAGCTTTAACTTGGGTGTTACAATCAGCATCAATAAGGAGTTACAAGCTTTCAATTGAGTCTTCAAGTGGCCGTTTACTTCAGCCAGCAACTGGTACATTCAAGAGGCGTCCAAGTACATCCTTGACCACATACATTCAAGCTTAATTCAAGGCTTGAAACAAGGAGGAGTTACACTTCACTTGCTGCTTGAATTGGGCGTGAAAAGGGGAGCTGTTACACCTCCAAGTTGCTGCTTGTTGGGCGTGAATCAAGGGGGAGTTATACTCTCTTATTTCAGATTTTATTTGGAGGTTACAAACCACCATTTTCTCTTTGATGTATCTAGTTAAGTAAGGCTTCTTTTATTAATGTATCTAGACAACAAAAGCTGAATTGTACTTAGCTTTAGGCGTGTAACAAGTGAGCTGAAAAGTCACTTAAGTTAGCTTGTACTTAAGGATGCTTGTTCACTATAAATAGCAAGCAAATGTGAATGGAAAAATCAGATTATTGCAAACAAAAAAAAGACTTGTCTTACATTCGTTTCTTGGATTAGAAACAAAACCTGAAATTCTTGGATTTGGAATTTCGTTTCCTTTGCTTAGTTAGCTAGTTTAGGCTACTAGTTGACTTGTGATCTTAGGAACCCAAAACGTTTCTTAGTGGTGTGACTTTATCTGAGAAGCTTTTGGTTCTTTAGCCTTATCTATCCCTTGGTTTATCCCTTGTGTATTTCGAGTGTTACTCCAAATATACAACAATTTTCATAGCTTTGTTTGAATGTGTTTGACTTTCATTTAAATTAAAAAGCTTTTTTTGAATGTGTTTGACTTTCATTTGATTTAAAAGGCTTTGTTTGAATGTGTTTGACTTTCATTTGATTCAATTAGCTTTGTAGAATGTATTTTACTTTTATTTGATTTAATTAGCTTTGTTTGAATTTATTTGACTCTCCTTTGATTTAAATAGCTTTGTTTGAATGTGTTTGACTTTCATTTGATTCAATTAGCTTTATAGAATGTATTTGACTTTCATTTGATTCATATAGCTTTATTTGAATGTGTTTGACTTTCATTTGATTCAATTAGCTTTGTAGAATGTATTTGACTTTCATTTGATTCAAAATCTTTGTTTGAATGTGTTTGACTTTCATTTGATTCAAATAGCTTTGTTTGAATGTGTTTGACTTTCATTTGATTCAATTAGCTTTGTAGAATGTATTTGACTTTCATTTGAGTCAAATAACTTTGTTTGACTGTGTTTGACTTTCATTTGTTTCAATTTGCTTTGTTGAATGTATTTGACTTTCATTTTCTTCAAATAGCTTTGTTTGAATGTGTTTGACTTTCATTTGATTCAATTAGCTTTGTAGAATGTATTTGACATTCATTTAATTAAAATAGCTTTGTTTGAATGTGTTTGACATTCATTTGATTCAATTAGCTTTGTTTGAATGTGTTTGACTTTCATTTGATTCAATTAGCTTTGTAGAATGTATTTGACTTTCATTTGATTCAAATAGCTTTGTTTGAATGTGTTTGTGATGTGTAAACAAGATGAGAACCTTGTTACAAAAGTATGTTTTAAGGGGTCTTAGTGAAATCGTGAACAATGAAGGTGAAAATAGGGGAACACTCACCCTAGTTTCGGATATAACAAAGGGGAACACTCACCCTTTGCTTGGTGTAGTTAGGAATAGGGAACACTCAACCCACTCGTTCACTACGCAAGCTCCTAGGTTTGGGAACACTCTACCAAAACTAGCACTCTTCAAATTTGAGCTAACAAACTTGGACCTTAAAAATGACTAGTTACTAAGTCACGTTTAATCAATCAAAACACAAGTGTTTAAGCAAATTTCTGGATGCTTTTCATTCATGCATAGCACACTATTTATAGTAGTGTATAAGTTACATAAAGGAACATGGGATTCCTCTTTACAACTTTTAATGATTATCCATCACTTGCCTAATTTAAAAGACAAAATAAGATACTAACTATAAGGTGATTAAAAGGCTCAAATAACCGTCCAATTAACCCCTCATAACAACAAAATAAAACTACTCAATTAAGCTTAAAAACTATGCTTAAATTAAGGAGGAAACGTTCAGCAAACATGAAGTCTTCAAAGAGCATCTTCAACGTCCAAGAAACGTGCAAACAGCCCCCTTGAGTCACGCTTGTAACCTCCCATTTAAACCCTTGATTCAAGCTCCTTTATTCCAGCAACAACTCTCTAATTAAGTAAATAACCCCCAAGTAAAGAGATAGAATAATCAGCCAACCAATGCCTTAATTCACGCCCAACACAAGCCTTGAATCACGCCTTCATAATCAGTCCAATGTAACTCTCAAATGCATCAATCATGCGTGGCTTCAAGCTTGGAAAAACGACACATTAACTAGATGCCTTCAACAAGATTAGTTACACTAAGAGAAGTGTAACCATTTGTTAAACTCTTTGGACTAAAACCGTGCATTGGATTGAAGAATGATTTGGACAAAAAGATTCCCTCAGTACCTTGCTCACTAGCACCGTTTTGGACTTCCTTATCTTGACCATGGATGAGTGACCCTTGACCATCTTGGTCATCCTCCCCTTCTTCAAAAGGAATTGCCCTCAATTCGTCATTATCAAAGTAAGGAGCAAGATCACCAATGTTGAATGTACTTGAGACACCATATTGGCCTCCCAAATCAACTTTGTATGCGTTGTCATTGATCTTTTCCATGACCTCAAACGGACCCTCGGCTCGTGGCATAAGCTTGTTCTTCCTTTTGCTAGGAAAACGTTCTTTCCTCATGTAAATCCACACCAAGTCCCCAACTTCAAAAGACTTCACATTTCTCACTCGTTTGTTGGCTTGTTTCTTGTAGATTTCATTTGCCTTTTCAATGTTTCTTCGAACCTCTTTATGGACTTTAAGCATGAACTCGGCTTGCTCCTTTGCCCCACCATGAACGAACTTGTCTTTTGGCAAAGCAATAAGATCAATGGGAACATAAGGATTGACGCCATAGACTACTTCAAAAGGAGAATACTTTGTAGTAGCACTAGGTGTCCTATTATAAGCAAACTCGGCATGAGCAAGCTTATTATCCCAATCTTTGGTACTTTTGCTCACCAAAGCCCTAAGCAACGAACCAAGTATTCTATTCACCACCTCCGTTTGACCATCAGTTTGTGGATGATGTGAGGTAGAAAACAGCAACTTAGTTCCCATCAAACGCCACATAGACTTCCAAAAATGACTTAGGAACTTAGTATCACGATCCGACACAATGGTGCGTGGCACCCCATGAAAACGAACCACCTCTTCAAAATATAACTTAGCCACTTTCATTGCATCTTCAGTTTTATGGCAAGGAATGAAGTGAGCCATTTTTGAGAACCGATCAACCACCACCATTATTGAATCCTTGCCTCTTTGAGTTCTAGGCAAAGCTACAATAAAATCCATACTAACATCTTCCCAAGGTCTTTCGGGAATTGGCAAGGGCTTGTAGAGACCTTTGTGAAACACCATTTTTGCTCTTTGACAAGTAGAACAACGACTCACCACACGATGAACCGTGGCTAACATTTTCGGCCAATAAAAGTGAGCTTGGAGAAGCTCCATTGTCTTGTGAATACCAACGTGACCAGCTAGTCCTCCCCCATGAGCTTCATGTATCAACAAACTTCTAATGGGACATTTTGGAATACATAATCTATTTCCTTTAAAAAGAAAACCATTATGTAAGGAAAACAGATCATAGACTCCATGGACACATTTTTCAATTATCCCCTTGAGTTCATCATCTTCTTGATAATACTCCTTGATCAAATCGAACCCAAGTACCTTTGCTTCAACCATTCCAAGCAAATTATGTCTTCTAGACAAGGCATCCGCAACCACATTAGCTTTCCCACTCTTGTATTTAGAGGAAAAGTTAAATGTTTGTAAAAATTCGACCCACTTCGCGTGTCTTGCGTTCAGCTTCTTTTGACCATGTATGAACCTCAATGATTCATGATCGGAATGCAAAATGAAAGGTTGTGGTCTCAAATAATGTGACCAATGTTCTAGAGCTCTTACCATAGCATAGAACTCTTTGTCATAGGTGGAGTAATTCAACTTGCCTTGACTCATCTTCTCACTAAAGTAGGCAATAGGACGCCCACCTTGAATCAACACGGCACCAATACCTTTTCCACTTGCGTCACACTCAACTTCAAATGGCTTGGAAAAATCAGGAAGTGCGAGAATAGGAGTGTTGCACATTTTCTCCTTGACTTCTTCAAAGGCCTTTTGAGCTTGTGTAGTCCATTCAAACGTCCCCTTCTTAGTACACTCAGTTATAGGAGCCATGAGTGTGCTAAAATTCTTGATAAATCTTCTATAGAAAGAAGCTAGGCCATGGAAAGAACGGACCTCCGTGAGTGTTTTTGGACTAGGCCATGATTGAATTGCTTCAATTTTGCTAGGGTCTACCTTCACGCCATCACCTGAAACTATATAGCCAAGAAACATGACTTCATACAATAAAAAATCACATTTTTCTAGTTTCCCATACAATTTTTCTTGTCTTAAAACAGAAAATACTTGAAAAAGATGCTCAAAATGAGCTTCTTCATCACGTGAATAAATGAGAATGTCATCCAAGTATACTACCACGAACTTGCCAAGAAATGGCCTTAGCACTTCATTCATTAATCTCATGAACGTGCTAGGGGCATTTGTAAGGCCAAATGGCATGACGAGCCACTCATACAACCCATGCTTTGTCTTGAACGCAGTCTTCCATTCATCCCCTTCTCTCATGCGAATTTGATGATACCCACTTCTCAAGTCTACTTTTGAGAAGACCTTGGAACCACTCAGCTCATCAAGCATGTCATCAAGCCTTGGAATTGGAAACCTGTACTTGATGGTAATGTTATTAACGGCTCTACTATCAATACACATTCTCCAAGTACCATCTTTCTTAGGGACCAACAAAGCAGGAACGGCACATGGACTCATGGACTCACGCACATAACCCATACCCATTAGCTCTTCAATTTGTCGTTGTAACTCCTTAGTTTCTAAAGGGTTACATCTATAGGCTGGTTTATTTGGCAAGGGTGCTCCGGGAATGAGATCAATTTGATGCTCAATTCCTCGTATGGGTGGTAGTCCTTTAGGTAATTCATCCGGAAAAACGTCCTCAAAATCCTTAATCAATTGGGCTAACCTAGGATTATGAGCAACAAATTTTTCGTGGGTTTCCTTGGAGTATAGCATGAACAACTCCCCCTCACCTTCCAACTCCCTCTCAAACTCTTTAAGAGACAACAAGGATACTTCTTTTTGTGGGGTTTGTGATGGTGAAAACCGTGGGGGTGGTAAAGGGTGTAGTTTTTTCTTCCTCCCTTCATGGACTATGGTATACGTGTTGTGATACCCATCATGTATAGATTTTTTATCAGTTTGCCAAGGTCTACCAAGTAGAATATGACAAGCATCCATAGACACAACATCACATAATATAGAATCACAATATGAACCAACACAAAAAGAAACCATGCATTGCTTCCTAACCCCGGTGCTAGCATTTGAATCTAACCAACTCAACTTGTAAGGTTGTGGATGATTAGTAGTAGTTAGACCAAGTTTAGATACTAAGGTCTTAGACACGGTATTAGCCTCACTCCCTCCATCAATAATCAAATCACATACCTCGTCACCAATTTTACAACGGGTGATGAAAATGTGTTGGCGTGGGGGGGCAGCATCCTCTACCACACGTGCTTGCAAGGCCCTCCTAATCACGAGGCTAGTCTTCCCCTCTGGCTCGGCCATGCAATCATCACAATCATCTTCAACTTCTTCTTCCTCCTCCTCAAACTCATCCCAGTTGATGTTTTGAGTGGCCATGAGCTTAACCTCTTGTATGGTTAACGCCCTAGTATTAGGACAATCCTTCTTGTAATGACCTCGTCCTCCACATTTGTAACACACAATGTCACCTAGCTTCACGTCCTTGGTGTCCTTCTTTGGTGGATTACTTGGTTTGTTGAAGGAAGAACCTTCCTTTGTAGGGAAAGAAGGTTTTCGTGCCAATTGAGGGATGGTAGTAGGCTTCTTCTTTTTCCTCTTAGCATCGAACTTAATCACCAATTTGCAAGCTTCAACAAACGTGAGGTTAGTATAACCTTCAAGTTTGTCTTGTAATTCTTGGTCCAAACCAGATACGAAACGCCCCATCTTGAGCTCTTCATTTTCGGTTACTTCACACACAATAGCAAGTCTATCAAACTCTTTTATGTAATCCTCCACAGAGTCCCCATTTTGTTGCAAGGTACTCCACTTCACATATTGACTTTGCTTGTAATTGTGTGGGATGAAACGGTCTTTCATCCGTTTCTTGAGTTTGCCCCAAGTAGAGATAGGAGCTTTCCCCCTAAGGGTACGTCCCCTTTGCTCTCCTTGTAGCCAACTATCACCATAGCCTTTAAGCTTGACTTTGGCAATCTTAAAACGTTGAACATCCTCATGAATGTCCTTATATTCAAAGTACCTCTCCAAGGATTTCTCCCATTCCAAGTACTTCTCTGGATCAAGTGTCCCATCAAAAGAAGGAACGTCCACTTTGAGGCTTCTATCCTCCCTCCTAGGTGGAGGGTCCTCATTTTGATCTCTCCTATCTTGCTCGTTCATGAGCCTTGCCATCAAGGCAGCAAGGTTCCCTTGTAGATTGGCATTGGTTTCGGCCAACCTTTCTTGACTAGCAATGGATCGATTAAGAGCTTCCAACGCTGTCCTTAAGTCCGGGTTTTCTCCCATGGTATGTAGGTATTCGACCCCTTAGGAAATGTTTAGAAAAACATCCCCTACCTGACGCGCCAAATGATGTGTAAACAAGATGAGAACCTTGTTACAAAAGTATGTTTTAAGGGGTCTTAGTGAAATCGTGAACAATGAAGGTGAAAATAGGGGAACACTCACCCTAGTTTCGGATATAACAAAGGGGAACACTCACCCTTTGCTTGGTGTAGTTAGGAATAGGGAACACTCAACCCACTCGTTCACTACGCAAGCTCCTAGGTTTGGGAACACTCTACCAAAACTAGCACTCTTCAAATTTGAGCTAACAAACTTGGACCTTAAAAATGACTAGTTACTAAGTCACGTTTAATCAATCAAAACACAAGTGTTTAAGCAAATTTCTGGATGCTTTTCATTCATGCATAGCACACTATTTATAGTAGTGTATAAGTTACATAAAGGAACATGGGATTCCTCTTTACAACTTTTAATGATTATCCATCACTTGCCTAATTTAAAAGACAAAATAAGATACTAACTATAAGGTGATTAAAAGGCTCAAATAACCGTCCAATTAACCCCTCATAACAACAAAATAAAACTACTCAATTAAGCTTAAAAACTATGCTTAAATTAAGGAGGAAACGTTCAGCAAACATGAAGTCTTCAAAGAGCATCTTCAACGTCCAAGAAACGTGCAAACAGCCCCCTTGAGTCACGCTTGTAACCTCCCATTTAAACCCTTGATTCAAGCTCCTTTATTCCAGCAACAACTCTCTAATTAAGTAAATAACCCCCAAGTAAAGAGATAGAATAATCAGCCAACCAATGCCTTAATTCACGCCCAACACAAGCCTTGAATCACGCCTTCATAATCAGTCCAATGTAACTCTCAAATGCATCAATCATGCGTGGCTTCAAGCTTGGAAAAACGACACATTAACTAGATGCCTTCAACAAGATTAGTTACACTAAGAGAAGTGTAACCATTTGTTAAACTCTTTGGACTAAAACCGTGCATTGGATTGAAGAATGATTTGGACAAAAAGATTCCCTCAGTACCTTGCTCACTAGCACCGTTTTGGACTTCCTTATCTTGACCATGGATGAGTGACCCTTGACCATCTTGGTCAGTTTGACTTTCAATTGATTCAATTAGCTTTGTAGAATGTATTTTACTGTCATTTGATTCAAATAGCTTTGTTTGAATGTGTTTGAATTTCATTTAATTCAATTTGCATTGTAGAATGCATTTCACTTTCATTTGATTTATATAGCTTTGTTTGAATGTGTTTGACTTTCATTTAAATTAAAAAGGTTTTTTTGAATGTGTTTGACTTTCATTTGATTTAAAAGACTTTGTTTGAATGTGTTTGACTTTCATTTGATTCAATTAGCTTTGTAGAATGTATTTTACTTTCATTTGATTCAAATAGCTTTGTTTGAATGTGTTTGACTTTCATTTAATTCAATTTGCTTTGTAGAATGCATTTCACTTTCATTTGATTTATATAGCTTTATTTGAATGTGTTTGACTATCATTTAAATTACAAACTTTTTTGAATGTGTTTGACTTTCATTTGACGCAATTAGCTTTGTAGAATGTATTTTACTTTTATTTGATTTAATTAGCTTTGTTTGAATTTATTTGACTCTCATTTGATTCAAATAACTTTGTTTGAATGTGTTTGACTTTCATTTGATTCAATTAGCTTTGTAGAATGTATTTGACTTTCATTTGATTTCAATAGCTTTTTTTGAATGTGTTTGACTTTCATTTGATTCAATTAGCTTTGTAGAATGTATTTTACTTTCATTTAATACAAAATCTTTGTTTGAATGTGTTTGACTTTCATTTGATTCAATTAGCTTTGTTTGAACGTGTTTGACTTTCATTTGATTCAATTCGCTTTGTTGAATGTATTTGACTTTCAGTTAATTCAATTAGCTTTGTTTGAATGTGTTTGACTCTCATTTGATTCAAATAGCTTTGTTTGATCGTGTTTCACTTTCATTTGGTTCAATTAGCTTCGTAGAATGCATTTCACTTTCATTTTATTCAAATAGCTTTGTTTGAATGTGTTTGACTTTCATTTGATACAATTAGCTTTGTAGAATGTATTTGACTTTCACTTGATTCGAAAGCTTTGTTTGAATGTGTTTGACTTTCATTTGCTTCAAATAGTTTTGTTTGAATGTGTTTGACTTTCATTTGATTCAATTAGCTTAGTAGAATGTATTTGACTTTCATTTGATTCAAATAGCTTTGTTTGAATGTGTTTGACTTTCATTTGATTCAATTAGCTTTGTAGAATGTATTTGACTTTCACTTGATTCGAAAGCTTTGTTTGAATGTGTTTGACTTTCATTAAATTCAATTAGCTTATTTTGAATGTGTTTGACTTTAATTTAATTCAATTAGCTTTGTAGAATGTATTTGACTTCCATTTAATTCAATTAGCTTTGTTTGAATGTGTTTGACTTTTATATGATTCAATTAGCTTTGTAGAATGTATTTGACACTTATTTGATTTAATTAGCTTTGTTTGAATGTATTTGACTCTCATTTGATTCAAATAGCTTTGTTTGAATGTGTTTCACTTTCATTTGATTCAATTAGCTTTGTAGAATGCATTTCACTTTCATTTTATTCAAATAGCTTTGTTTGAATGTGTTTGACTTTCATTTGATACAATTAGCTTTGTAGAACGTATTTTACTATCATTTGATTCAAATAGCTTTGTTTTAATGTTTTTGACTTTCATTTGATTCAATTAGCTTTGTAGAATGTATTTTACTGTCATTTGATTCAAATAGCTTTGTTTGAATGTGTTTGAATTTCATTTAATTCAATTTGCTTTGTAGAATGCATTTCACTTTCATTTGATTTATATAGCTTTGTTTGAATGTGTTTCACTTTCATTTGATTCAATTAGCTTTGTAGAATGCATTTCACTTTCATTTTATTCAAATAGCTTTGTTTGAATGTGTTTGACTTTCATTTGATACAATTAGCTTTGTAGAACGTATTTGACTGTCATTTGATTCAAATAGTTTTGTTTGAATGTGTTTGACTTTCATTTGAATCAATTAGCTTATTAGAATGTATTTGACTTTCATTTGATTTAAATAGCTTTGTTTGAATGTGTTTGACTTTCATTTGATTCAATTAGCTTTGTAGAATGTATTTGACTTTCACTTGATTCGAAAGCTTTGTTTGAATGTGTTTGACTTTCATTAAATTCAATTAGCTTATTTTGAATGTGTTTGACTTTAATTTAATTCAATTAGCTTTGTAGAATGTATTTGACTTCCATTTAATTCAATTAGCTTTGTTTGAATGTGTTTGACTTTTATATGATTCAATTAGCTTTGTAGAATATATTTGACTCTTATTTGATTTAATTAGCTTTGTTTGAATGTATTTGACTCTCATTTGATTCAAATAGCTTTGTTTGAATGTGTTTTACTTTCATTTGATTCAATTAGCTTTGTAGAATGCATTTCACTTTCATTTTATTCAAATAGCTTTGTTTGAATGTGTTTGACTTTCATTTGATACAATTAGCTTTGTAGAACGTATTTTACTATCATTTGATTCAAATAGCTTTGTTTGAATGTGTTTGACTTTCATTTGAATCAATTAGCTTTGTAGAATGTATTTTACTGTCATTTGATTCAAATAGCTTTGTTTGAATGTGTTTGAATTTCATTTAATTCAATTTGCTTTGTAGAATGCATTTCACTTTCATTTGATTTATATAGCTTTGTTTGAATGTGTTTCACTTTCATTTGATTCAATTAGCTTTGTAAAATGCATTTCACTTTCATTTTATTCAAATAGCTTTGTTTGAATGTGTTTGACTTTCATTTGATACAATTAGCTTTGTAGAACGTATTTGACTGTCATTTGATTCAAATAGTTTTGTTTGAATGTGTTTGACTTTCATTTGAATCAATTAGCTTATTAGAATGTATTTGACTTTCATTTGATTCAAATAGCTTTGTTTGAATGTGTTTGACTTTCATTTGAT